TATACCTAAAGAGGACTGGGAGGGCTCTTAGGAGATTATAGGGGTAATAGTATCGGGGTCGATACCGCTACGTAAAGTTCGAGTCGGTGTTCTTTCTTCTTTCTCTCGAGACGTAATTCGAGACGACGGGTCTTTACTATAAGTTCGGTATCTTAGTGGTCTATCGTAGGGAGACTCTAGAGATCTAAGTAAGTATATCGTGTTACACGGTAGTCCCTTTATCCTTTAGGATTAGGAGTATTAGGGTTAGGGGCACTATCGGATTAGGGAGGGGGTAAAAGGGAAGAGGATTCTTTATCGTTATCGGCTATAGGTCCTATAGGAGGGGGAACTAGCGGATTAGAGCGTTAAGGTATAGTGGTCTCTTAATATTCTGCTAGGGACTAATCGTTATAATTCCTATTAATCGTTATACCTGTGTAGAAGGGGAGAACGAATAAAATGTTATAGGTATACTATAAGGAGTAATAGGCGACTGCTAAACGATATAAGATTACTTAGTGATTAGTAGAAACTAAAGAGGGGGTATTATAATAAGATTATTCGTTAAGTCCCTTTAAGACTCTAGGAACTATAGAAGGCACTCCCCTCTTTATACCTACCTAAGGTCTCCTAACTAAGTGGGTAGCGAGAGGCCTCCTTAAGACTAAGTTTAGGCGTAAGCTGGTTCCTAAGCTAACTAGCTTACTAGGTCTAAGCTGACTTCTAAGCTGACTTCTAAGCTGACTAGCTTATTTAACCTCGACGTATTATATCTCTAATGGTCTGACCTGACTATAATCCCCCTATCTATGTATAAGTCTGGTGCTAGTCCTGTGGCAACGTATAAACACTGTATGTTCTGACAAATATATACCCTCTAACTAATCTGCGGCTGCTTTTCTAGGCTCTTCTTCTACCCGAAAAGCTATCTAAAAATCGACGATACGCTATCTAAGCACTACGGAGGGCATCTTATAGTATCTACGACTAGGGCACGCTGGCCCTAAACCGCTTAGGCACCTAGAAGAGTAGACGTAGGGGGTTAAAATAAAGGGACTAATAACTATTGACTACGAGGCCTACGAGCTTATAAAGATTAAACGGTATATTAGTAGGCGCCCTTATCCCGTACCTGCTTATATAGGGGAGCGGTAGGCGATTAATTTCACGGATTTTAATAGAATATCCGATAGGGACTCGCGGTTTATATTTTTCACCGACCGTCATAGTGGTTTTACGGCCACCTACGTTATAAAGAGTAAGCTAGTAATAGATATCCTCGTAATAATTAAGGAATTCCTTACCTGGGTAGACCGTTAAATAGGTTCTAAGGTACGCGTTTTCGAATCTGATAATAAGCTAACTTAATCCCACGATATCACCTAATTCCTGCGTGACAAGGGTATTCTTTTAGAGGTATCTACTACCGATACTTAAGCGTAGAATAGGGGTGCCGAATACGCTGCTAGCGTGGTTATCTTAAAAGGTCGTGCGATAAATATCCACGTAAAACTACCGCCGTTTATATAGCCTAAGGCTATTCCCACGGCTACGTACGTCTATAACCGCACGCTATAAAGGCAGTATAATAAGGAATAGAAAACGCTATATAAGGTCTTCTTTAAAAGGAAGCTGATTTTATTACACCTTCGAGCTTACGGCTATAAGGCGTACGCGATAATAAAGGACGCCTAAAAGGCTGCTAAGAAGCTATTAAATAGTATCGCTCCTTGCGCCTATATCGGCTACCTTATCGGCTATAGTTCCACTAATATTTTCCGTATCTGGGTGCCTGGCCTATGCCGCTATAACCGCGTTATTCGAACGCGCGATATAGATTTTAATAAACGCGCCTTCTTTAATAGCGATATCGCTACCTTTAAGAATAACCTCCGTTAATTAACCGAGGAGTAATTAGAAGACCTAATTAGTTAGATCGAGTAGGAGAGGGCTAGAGATTCATGGCCGTTTACGGACGTATAAGCTAAGGACCCCCCCCTTTATATAACTACTTATTTTAAATTATTAGATCCGGGGTTAAACGCCCCCGGATTCCCTTCCTTAACGGCTTTACCGTTAAGGTTATAGTCCGTAATGCCCGGCTATAAGGGGGTAGAGGAGGCTATCTCGAGTTAATTAGGATAAGAGTTAGGTTACGAATAGTATAATTTAGCCGGTATAGCGCCTGATTACCGTCTATATCCGCCCGATCTATTACTTCCTACTCTACTAATAACCCCGTTATCGGTTATAGCGCTAATAGTAGCCATTATATTAGGAAACCGTGATACCCCTACGGCTATAGGGTTCTAGGATAACAGAACACGGTGCTACGATACCCCTATAGCTACGGCTATAGGGCTCCTATTAAATAAAAGAGCGTAACTAATTCGGTAAGGAGATAGCTAGAAAAGAGACTATTAGGTTATAGTATTTAACGCTAGCCGTTATATGCATAATATATATATATTGAATAGGATTCTGTTAACTAAATTACGGTTAAAAATGTCTACGTCTATAGCGCTATAGCGACGCTTAACGATACCCTACGAATCCACAGCCCCGGCAGTAGCTACCGGAAGTATAACCCGGGAGGCTATATTGGGAAATATAACCCCGGCGGTTACTCCGGCGGGTACTCCGGTAGTTACCCCGACGGCCGTAAAGATCCACCGTAAAGACCTCCCTCCTCCTCCGAAGAACCCTCGCGATATACCCTCGCACCCTTACGGCCACCTATTCCGATAGGTATAAGAAGACTACCTGTGGAGCTATAAAGAGATAGGGTCGTGGATACGGGTGCCGGCGTCCGTAGTAAATAGATATTAGGTTCTTAATTCGATATAGATAATAATATATAAGTTCGATAAGTATAGCTTTCTATATAAATATAAGGTAAGGCTTATAGTATAAGGAGATTAATAGGATTAATCCTCATTTAAGGAGATATACGTAGTAATACTGGCCGGACGGTTATTCCGCGCGTTAATAGCTATCGCCGCCCGATTTAACCTTACGCTATTATAATTTAATATTATAAACACGTTTATACACGCGCCCCTCCCCCACGATATCTTTATATACCCGCCGCTAGGCTTTTTAGCCCCTAGGAGTCGTTTATACCTGAAAAAGGCGTTATATAGACTTATGGAGTCTTTACTGCTTTAGTAAAAGCACTTTTCGGCTATCCTTTTAGCGGACGGCTTCTAGATAGTGCCGTAAGAACCGTGTTATTTTCTGCGCCGCGGTTTTATCCTATTCTTCTACGTTAACGATATCGTTATTACTTATAAGGAATAATATAAGGCGTAGATAGAGTAGGCCGTTAATAACCTATAACGCCACTATAACCTATAAAGTGGCGATCCTCTATAATAGTTCCTTAGTATTAAGGTTATTCGCGACCGTGTTACCCGTAAAATCTAGCTATTATAACGCGACTACGTTACTAAGTTAGAACGCCTATTAAAGCCGAATAGTAAGTATAGTGGTAACTATCGTCTAATATACCTAATTGAGGTTATAGAGCTACTGCCCTATTTAGGAACCTTAACTAATGTTAAAAGCTATTAACGGAAGATAGGATCTATACTATACGTAGTAGTGATATCGCGGCCTAATATCGCGTTTATAGTATCTAGGCTATACCAGTTTAACGTTAATCTAGGGCCTATTCACTATAAGGCCGCCGATTATCTAATCCTCTATCTAATTAATAGCTAATCGTTTATATTAGAACTAGGGGGTAGCGATACTATCGAAATCTATACTAACGTCTTATTTACCGATAATACTCTTAATCGAAAGAGTAGTTAAGCGTACGTGCTACGCTTATTTAGCGGTATAATAGTGTGGCGCGCTAATAAGCAGGATATAGTCACGACGTTAATAATGGAGGCAGAGCTATTAGCGTTAGTATAAGGTATAAAAGAGGGTATCTTTATATAACGCCTATTACTTAGTATAGGAGTGGAATTTAACGATCCGGAATTAAGGATCTTATACGATAATAACTAAATAATTCGATTAGTTAATTAAGAGATTAGCACGTTAATAACGCGCCTCCGCTATATCGATATCCACGGCTACTAGTTATATTAAGTAAAGGAATAAGGGTAAATACTCGTAACGTACGTTATAAGTGCGGAAATAGTAGTAGACGGATTAACGAAGGCGCTATACAGCGAAAAATTTAAGATATTCAGGTCCTAGGTAGGCGTGATAGATATACGGGAACGGTTATAGTAGAAATATCTAGAGGAAGTCCGGATAGAATATTTAGAGGACCTAGAGGATGACTTTAAGGGCGGCTATAGCGAATAGATTATATAGCTAGATTATCTGCCGATTACGAATAGCTTTAATCGCCTAACTAACGCTTAGGGCGATTAGGGGGTATATCGAATAGACTATAGTCTTTTCGGTTACGTAATAGGCCGGATTACTAAGAGTATAATCCGGGTGGACGCTTACAGAATCTGCACTATATAAAATACGGTGGCAGCGTTTCCCTAATAGTCTAAAATAGTTATAATTGTATATAATTTGCCTTAATCAATTCTGACCTATTTTATGACGATTTTGACTACGCTTTATCTGACATGGTGAGGTATTTTTAGAAGTGTCCCGAAATTCTTGTCACCTGACTGTAGTTACTGAGAACGGAGTAGCTAATCAATAAGATAAGGTATAGAGACAACCACGCCGTAAAAGCCGTAAGTAGCCGAGACTTGCCTTCTTTCCTTCGTCTCGACTAATAAACTGCCTACGCCGTATTCAGTACTTACTCCGTATCATCGTACGAAGAAGGAACGACACGCTCAAAGCCCCGCCAACCCCACTTGCCATCATTTGCCCTTTGCCCGGGTTGATAGTCAGCCCGGGCTTCACCTGCAAGACCCCATCCTACCCTCCTGCCTCCTGCTCCTGCTCCTGCCTCCTGCTTCTTCACCTTACTTGACTGCCATCGGGTTCTCCCTTTTTCTCGACCAGCCCTATCCAAACATCTCCCTCTCACAATGGCTGACCTATCCACTTGTCTGCCCCTGACCCGCGACTCGGTCATCGAGGCGCACAAGGTCATCAAGCCTCATGTCCACCTCACCCCCGTCATGACCAACAAGACTTTGACTCAGTTGGCGTCCACCGCACGAGACCCGGCCTCGCTAGTGGGAACTCCCTGGGAGGGCCGCACGCCAGCTGCCCCAACCCTCCGTCTCTGGTTCAAGTGTGAGAATCTGCAACGCATCGGCGCCTTCAAGGCGCGCGGCGCTTTCCACGCCATCGAGCGTCTCAAGCAGGAGCCGGGCTGGGTCGAGAACGGCGGCAAGTCGAAGGGCGTCGTCACCCACAGCTCCGGCAACCATGCCCAGGCCCTCGCCCTGGCCGCCCGCGAGAGCGGCATCCCCGCCCACATCGTCATGCCCTCCGTCTCCCTCCCCAACAAGATCGCCGCCACCAAGGGCTACGGTGCCAATGTCATCTTCAGCGGCAGCACCAGTTCCGAGCGTGAGGCCGTGGCCGCCCAGGTCATCGCCGACACCGGAGCCCGCCTCGTGCCGCCCTACGACCACCCTGACATCATGCTGGGCCAGGGCACCATGGGCCTCGAGCTCCAGGATCAGGTCCGCGAGCGGAAGGCGGGCGGGAAGGGGCTGGATGCCATCATCACCCCCTGCGGCGGCGGCGGTATGCTCTCCGGCGTCGCCCTGAGCTGCGAGGGCACCGGCATACGCGTCTTCGGGGCCGAGCCCTCCTTTGACGGCGCAGACGACTGCCGCAGGGCCTTCGAGACGGGAAAGCGCATCGAGTCGGTGAAGAGCCTGACCATCGCCGACGGCTTGCGCACGCCGGTCGGCGAGCACCCCTGGCGTGTCATCTACGAACGCAGGCTCGTCTCCGCCATGTACGCCGTTACCGAGGACGAGATTCGCAGTGCCACTCGACTGGTCCTGGAGCGCTTCAAGCTTGTTGTCGAGCCCAGCGCCGCCGTCCCCCTGGCCGTCGTGCTCTTCAACGAAGACTTCCGCGCCATGGTCGAGAAGGAGGCCGGTCCCGATGGATGGGACCTGGGCATTGTCTTCAGCGGCGGCAATGTCTCCGTCGACGGCCTCGCCAACCTATTTGCTGCACCATAGTTTCTTAGTTTCTCCCCCACGAGAAACTTGCTGCAGGCCTTACCAATGGGGCTGGGGCTGATGAGGGATGGTCAATGAAATGACTGGAAGAATGGCTCTTGGAAGAGTAGAATAGAACCTGCCCACCTCGCATATCCAGCCACGGGAAACATACGAGGAGGACCTAAGCACCATCAAGATACCAGTCTCGGATATGGCAGTCCTTCTTTGACAGGCATCTGACCAACTCCTACAAAAGGCATGGCCTTCACATTTGTCTTAGGTGAGCCTACTTCAAATCCCTTGTAGCGATCCTTACATTTTCAAGACAGGACGGGTATCAAAACCCTCAACCGTCACCCAATGTGGTGACGGAGTCGACGTATATTAGGAGACGCGATATATATAACCAAATGAAGAATAGATATACATATGGTATCCAAGCAGCATACAATCCAACATGCCTTCCTCGGGTCTTAAATCCCATATGACTCCAACCCGACAGGCGCCTATAAACAGAGGGGCAGGAGAAAGAAAGAGAGAAAGAAAAGGAGAAAGAAACCAAAAAGATAAACAAGATAAAAAGAAGAAGAAGAAAAAAGGGGAGGATTCAACACTTCCACGACGTCTGTACACCCACCTACGCTATCTCGGCATACCCCCTCATGCCAGCCTCCCTTTCCGCCCTCCTCTTGCGCTCGAGCTCCTCGTCGTCCACTGACTCGACCACGGGGGCCCACCGGAACCCCTCAGGATCAGACTCAGAGTCAGAGGACGCAACTCTCACAGGGTCTCCGGGGCACGGCGCTTCGGGACCCATGCACACCCGCGGGCTGTCGTCTTCGGAAAGGCGCGAGGTGCACGTACCGACCTCATTGAACTGCCAGATAGGTGCGAGGTGCTTGCGGGCCGCGTTGAAGGCGTTGGCCATGCAGCTCGTGTTCCGGACACTGTCGATCGGCCCTACCGTCACGTCGTAGGCGATCATGACGCTGGTTTGGGCGTAGTGCTCCGCATAGCCTGGAGGGGGTTTTCAAGTAAGTTCTCGTCGGCCTGCTCTCTTATTCACTTGCTCTCCTCATCTTGTCCCTTCTGTTTTGTCCTCACAAAACCCGATTCCTTATCATCTCGAGAAGAAGGGGGAATAACTCACTCGTCTTGGCATAGTCATCAGGAGAACAGCTGTCGGCCGCCACAGCATTGGCATATTCGTCCGTGCCTGAAAAACTCGTCAAGGAGTCGGGAGGGGAGTAAAGCCTGTCAAGATTATGCGAAAGCTCATGGATGTAGACGGACTGTCCCTCGATGGGACCGAAGAAAGTGATATCGTTTCTGAAGCTAAAGGCCGAGGAATTACCTCCGTAGCTTGAGAAGAAGCGAGCATACTGCCGGGCAGCAACCGGAAGACGACTGCACTCGTCCGTCAGAGAATCGACATATACGTTGCGCCAAGGCCGCTCATGTTGATATTGAACAGACAAAGAGCAAACGGACTGGGGCGAGGAGAGCGGGAAAGCGGGAAAAGAACAAGAGGCATCACATCATACCCTACACGCCCAGCAAAGGCTTCAATGGACAGGGGCGAGTCGGAACAGCGACAGAACGTCCATGGAACTGCGCAGTCGTCGTATTCTACATCGTAGACCTCGAGGTCGTACACGTTGCAGTAACCGTCGTCAACCGCCGCGTTGTAGCAGACCTGCGGCACAGTGCCAAACGCCCACTGGGTGAATCCGAAGGGGACGCCCTGCATGTTGTTCAAGCCAATACTCCTGGGGCGGGTGTTGAGGACACTGAGTCCTTCCGGGAAGAGCGCGGCATGCCCTGGAGGCACCTGTGCGAGGGATACGCCGGCCAGGACGAGTAGAGACGCCACCTGCACAAGCTCGATGGGCAACATGACGATTAGCAAAGGGAAAGGAGGCTGCAGGCCTGATCTGGCAGAGGCACTGATGGTTTGGAGTTGGAGATGGCGGGAATCACTCCACGGTTGACCAAACTTACATGGAGTTATATATCCCATCATGGCGTCCGCTGATATTTAGAGGATATCCGCTCATGTTCAAGCCATCCGCCGACCTTGCCACTCCTTCTCCATCAACCACGCCGCGCGGCATGAAACTTGAGGCATCCTTCTTGTTTTCCCTCACACCTCAGTCGACTTGACGATATCACCATTCTCTACCACACTCTCCTCCACCTATGGGACCGAGGAGGCGCTAAAACCCGAAGTGGTGTCGATGGTTCCTGCTTGCCCGCGGGCTTGTGACGGGTATGCGGGGGGCACGGGGACGGAAAAAAAGGAGTCACTAAGACTGACCGATGGTCCCTGCAATCGATAGAGGAGATCTCTGCTTAGAGACTTATCAAGGCTGCGGTGATAAAAGGGGCAGGTAAGCAGAAGCGGGCAATGTTAACGGATTCACAGAAACAGGCAATATAACTTATTGACCAAAAGTCTAGCTACCATTGTACAGGATGAAGCAAGCATCAGGAGCTTCAGGAGCTTCAACCGGACAGGCACTGATTTTCAACTTGGAACGTGCCGGGCGACTTTCAGCGAACGTAAAAGGTTCTGAGACGCTCATTGCAAAGTCGCTCTCGTCTAATTTTGTCCATGAAAAGGAAACGTAAGTGTCCGCATACAAGCATCGGAGTATACTCGATATCTTTCATCTTCACACGCCAGTAAGACGCATGGCCTGCCTTAAATAACAGAGCCTAGTCATGCGCTGCCCCATGTGGTCATGCGGTGCTGTGTCCGTCTGTGGCTGTGTAGCCCTCGACTTTTGTACGCCGCCCTCCTAAACAGATCCATCATCAGCAGAAACTTGGCATCTGACTTGGTCCATTGTACTTCTGGATTCTTCGCGTTGTGCAACAGGGGCTCGCAAGAAGGCTGTGCCCTTCTTTTTAGGTCGCGCAAAGCTCATCACTTGGCTATGACCCTGGTTTGTTTTGTTCGCATGCAAACGCCGAGCACAATGGATACTCCCGAATCCGACGTGGACGATATCTTCTACGTCTTTACAGATCTACTTCTGAATCTGAATCTGAAGGGCGCTCATACACTCTCCTGCCAGCCACCCAGGTTTCCCTGACGGGAAAGTCGCGGAGATGTTCCAGGTCAACAAGATCCTCAAGGGGCTCATCCAGGACAACCCAATCGGCAAATGCGCCCTCCTTAATGAGCCCTGCTTTCCCTTCCATGAAAGCACCGAAGGCGGGCCCTCTGGTGAAGCCAAGTAATGCATCGTCCAGGTCTAGAGCCTCGTCGGTATGCCACCCGTCAGTGCTCCCACCAGCTCCATAGCCGGTGTGCGGGCTCTTTCGCGTCACGGCTGCATATATTCCCTGGAACGGGTTAGGGGGTTCCACGGGGAAGTCGCTGCCTAAGATGGGATTCACTTCAAGCAGAGAGCGCATGCGATAGGCCTCTCTCCTGGTTCGCTCTGGGCCCAGGCGCAGCTCAGCATATGCCATGTCCGAAGTGGCGTGCGTCGGCTGGATCGAAGGGATGATCCCAATGGCATGGATTCTCTTCTGGTCATCCTCGTGGATGATTTGAGAATGCTCGATCCGGAAGCGACGTCTGGCCTGGCACTCCGACAGGTCCTCTTGGCCGGGGCAGACTGTCCTTAGCGCTTCTTCCAGGGCGTCCACGGCGAGTCGGTTGGCCAAGTCGCCAATGGCGTGGATGTTGACTTGGTAGCCAAAAGATGCCCAGGACTTGGCCAGTTCCGTCAAGGTGCTGGCATTAACAAGGAGGGAGCCCGATGTGTCGGGACGGTCACTGTAGGGCTCGAGCATGGCACTGCCCCAGCTGCCAAGGGCTCCATCTGCGCGGTACTGTCAGAACCACGAGGTGTACCATCACGTAAGGTAGCGAGGAGCAGGATGGAAAAGAAGAACCCCCCCCCACACACACACATACCTGCAAAGAGCTTTACGCTCTTGACAGTAAACATGTCGCTCTCTTGGGTGACATTGGCGGCATCCGTCGGGCAAAACGTGTTCCTCTGGGGACACTCGAGCATGGAATAGACTCGGACTGTCCAGTCGTCCGTATGCGCCATATCTGCATACAGTCGTAGCGTTTCTGGGGATGCGCCAGCATCATGCATGCCGACCAGGCCGACCTCATTGAGCTTGGACATGGCCGTCGCCACAAAGGAGCGTTTTCTTTCGTTGTCGGGCTTGGGAAACATGTTCACGATCATGTCCATGGCGTTATCGCAGAAGACGCCCATCCCAGGTTTACGGACAACCTCGCCGCCGGGGACGTCTGGGACCTCGCCGGGGAGCAAGTCTAAGACGGCTTGGGAAACCCAGTTACAATGGACGTCGATGCGGTCCAGCATGAAGAACTTGCCCCTGAGGACCTCATCCTCCTCGATATCTGCCTGTAAGAGTGTCAGTCTCCCGGGATGTTTCAAATATACATAAAACAGGAAAGAAAAGAAGAAATGAGACAAGGAGAAACGACAAAAGAAAAGTGCACTAGAAGCAGCAGAACTGCAAGGAGACCGTGACTAACAGCAGTTGGCATCCGGCCATAGATGTTTTGGTCCCATCCCACGCCTCTAATCCACTCTTGCCGAGTCCCGGCATCGGGATGGGTTCGGATATAGTCTCTCAGGCGGCTGCGCACCTCGTCAAAAGACGAGGCGCCAAAGAGGTCGACAGAATGGAGAAACTCGCCATATTGGAGCAGGTGACCATGACCGTCCCAAAGACCCGGGATGACGAGACCAGAACGGACGGTCAGGCTCGCGTCGTCCCAGGGGAAGACGCGGGTGAACTTCCCATCCTCTACCGTGAAGCATTGAGCAACCGGCCGATCGGCGTCATGGGTACGAACGCCTTGATAGCAGTAGGTCTGAGGCCCTTGTCCGTGCTCCTCCGCCAGGAAGTCGGGTCGGAGGAGAGGACCGAGAGGTTGCTGGAAACGCACCACAGCCAGGGCGACGACGCCGGCCACGGCGGCGGAGAGGCCCAGCCCCCACTTTAAAATAGGTGTACCGGTCATCCAAGAGGCGTTTTATGCCAGAGCTTCCTTACAAGCCGTACTTAGGTGTCTCGAGAGAGGTATCTCTCGAGGCATTTTTGGGATGTTTTGCTCCGATATCGATATTTTTCTCCCGTCTTGGTGTGGTCACGTGAGATCGATGTTGACAGGTGGGTCGATACCCCTGACCCTGCCAATTATTCCCGTATTGCCCTGTAATTTTTACGTGTACACGTACACGTACAACGTACGGATAGTGTGCTGTCGCGGAACTCACTTTATTACTTCCGAGCGATCCGCCCTTGAAAATTCTTCCCTTTTTACTTGGTATATATTCTCTATTTCTCTCATCTTGTTGATCTCGCAACCTACGGAATACAGCTAAAAAAGATACAATGGCTTCGGCGGTTCTGCCCTTGTGGTCTATACGAGGGGTCCTCGTCCTCTTTCCGGTCTCTAACGTGAGACGGGTTGCTTCGATACGAGGATGGATTACCATGCATTGTCGTTCCGAGGAATAAGTGCCGACGTCTTGTTTGTTGGTTGGAAACGGATCAAACGGGATGTTAGAGGGCCGCCATTGGTAAAGGAATTTGGCTTTTGGTCGCTGCAAACTTTCCCTTCGTTTCGGCAAGCTTACAACGTACAGCCCGACTTGATTAAAGCAGTCGTAACTTTGTACCATATTGAAATGGAGCGCTCCGCTTTGCTTCCAACGCAACTTTCTTTGCTGGGCGAACAGGAAATCCCTTAAGGCTGAGTTATACGGCTGTACGCCTTATTAGGTCCTTCATACGAAGTAAGTTGAGGAAAGATATGACGGTTCTTCCCCTCCCCCACCATTGACCATTGGAAAATGATGTCACTGGAAAGCCACATGGAAGGCCCACACCCATGAAACAGGGGTCTTTCTGTGGGGCATGACATCGCAGCCAATTGAGACGCCTCTCCCCTACCAGCCACTGCGTCACTACGTCACCAGCCACAGGACCCTGAATTTTAAGCCAAACTAACCTACTCTTGACTTCACTTCTTCTGCCCACCTGTCTCCGATGGAACGCATACGTATGTACGGGTATCTATTCCGAGCCGATAAAGGGTATCGTCATATGCAGGGGTTTTGGGACCAAGTTTTCCCACCTCTGCACGAATTAATTATTTGAGGGTGGGATGACGAGGGGAACCTCTCCAATGCAAGTTGGTGCATGTCAGGATTGATGTCATTCACCCTACACCATCGCGCATCTGACCGTCTGCGCTACTTCGGAGGGAGATAGATTTCGAAATATAAATCCATCGATAATCCATCTTTCATATCCTTTCTTTTCGTACGAACCTCTAACACAAAAGATTTCAAGTAACCTCGCATTTCAGACAACCAAATCATACAACAAACAATACAACTAAACAAAATGGGTCTCTTCAGTTCATCCCAACCTGTCGCCGCCCAACCCGCCCAACCCGTCCAACCCCGCCAATCACGCGGCGGCCTCTTCTCTCGCAGACGCGACCCAGTCCAACCTCGCACCACAAGAGGCGGCCTCTTCAGTTCCTCCAAGCCAGTCCACCACCAGCCCCGCACCTCAGGAGGCGGTCTCTTCTCTCGCAGACGCAAGCCGGTCCACCACACCCACCACACCCCGGCAGCCACGACCGCCGGCACCACCTCGCGCCGGCACCAAGGCGGCGGTCTCACCGGCACCTCCCGTCCCGCTACTACAGCAACAGTGGGGACAAAGACCAAGCCGTCCCGCGGTCTCGGACTCTTCCGCCGCCGCGAGCGCCGCCACGAACCTACGATGGGCGAGAAGGTCAGCGGCGCCGCGACCCGCGCCAAGGGCACCGTTACAGGCGACCCTGTGGCCCGTGATATGGGTGCTCGCCGCATGCAGGGCTATGAAGAGCCGACTGTTCGGAGAAGTCCTCGATTCTAAGCGGGATTTAATTTTTTCTTTTGTGTTGACCGACAATCTGTCCGTCTTTGGTTCAGACACGAGAACTGTCTAATGGGGAGGAGTTTGGATAAACTTAGATATCACCTTTTCTGAGAACGATGTTTGGACAGGCCGGCCTCGGGTGTAATATTTGTCAGCGGTTTATTTTCTTTTTGTGTTCCCCTGGGCCAACCACTCTAGAGGAGAGCTCAACATTGACCCAGCGTCACTTGCATGAGATGTAATCACGAGACTGGATACCAATATACCCCCCATTTGTTTCTTCCCGCAGTGAAATGGGTGCCTATTATGTATATCTCGAATACCGGTCGCGAATCTTGACCCATGCGCTTCTGTCACCAGAGAAGAATCGCCCAACGAATACTTCGTACAAATCACTGGGGGGTATCATCGGTCCCCTCTGTCCCGTATGGCCCGCCGGTCCAAGATTACACAGACTCTCGCATCCTATGTTCCTCACTCTTCCCTTCTCTGACGGATAATAGACCGTGCAAGCGGAGTAAGCGCGTGCCAGCTATCATCCGTTGCCGGCTAAGAGGAGCACACTTTATACCGACCCAACCCCTCCAGACAAAAGAAAAAATCCCCAGACATGCATCTTGATTCTACTTGCACAACCCTCCTTCGAGTTTCTACTCGTACACGCCTCCACCCGATGGGAAGAAGTTAAACCCAGTGTTAAAATAGGGCTAGTTCATCAACCTCGCATGCCTTAGGATCCTGGGGGTGGTTGACGAGACCAAGACGAGGATCTGAGCGCGTTGATCCATGTGGGCAAGGAATCCGTGTCTTGCGGGTCGACACAGGAGTCAGGCTCTCTTCGCCCTCTTCGGTCTTGCCTCCTAGGCGTCTAATTGGCTGATTTTTGTCCCGGGGAGCCAGTGTCTCGCGAGAGGACCAAGGCCGGGGCATGGGGCGAGCAAGCTCGTCTAGATCATCTTCTCTTCGGCGAAAGCCCAGTTCCCGCAGCCGAAAAGCCATGCCATCTAGGTCTGACTTGCTGGGCGACGGGTGCTTCTTGGTTAAAACCTCTGGATCTCCTGGGCGTAGCTGAATAGGCGGAGTAATATTCAGAGACCGAGAAGAGCGGGCGAGCTTAGACCCGACCACACGTTCGTGTTTAGTCGAACTGCTAGACTCTCTCGGCGGGGCCATGGCAGGGCTCGTGCCTAGTTTTATGCGCTTTATAGGTGGGCTTTCATCAAATCGAAAGGCTTTTTTGCGGCGGAGGCGCGGGGTCGATGCAGCAAGCGGGAGTTCTGGTAAGACTCCCTCAAGGTCATCATCGAATTCCGTGGTGTTCTCAAAGGGATTCGACTCTGCAGCTGGCAAAACGACTTCACCGTTGAAAGCGAGCTGGATCGGGTTGGGACTAGGAGGCCAACCAGTCGCCAGAGGCTTAGTGGACGACGGAATGGGAATTCTGTCAGACTGATAAACGTTAGCGAACGAAGCTTTGCCTCCGGCCCAGATCTCGCGTACTCACCAAGTCTACTGTAGCTACAGGAGAGTGTGCGTCTGTTATTGCATCAGGGAAATATTGCGGGACGTGAAGGTTTCGAAAAGGATGCGGTAAACCCGTGTAACCCCCCTGTAGCTCCATAGGTGCGGATATCTTGAGTATATTAGTGGCCGGTTCCGATCCTTTGCCTTGAATACGGCTCCAGACATCAGAAACCTTTGTTGAGATCCGCTGGGACAATCGCGCGACTCTAGAGCGCCGTGGAGTAAACGGTTCCTTTGAGGAATTGGAAGCCGCCATCCTGCCCCGTTCAGAAAGCATGCCCCTTAGCTTTTGTTGGGCATCGCGCTGGTTAGTGACACTGTTCATGATTTGAGCACCACTGGCCCCATGGAGAGGTGCTGTGCTGGACGTCGGCAGGCGACCTGGTAAGCCGCGACGTTGGGAGCGTCGCTTTGGTGGCTGGTTGGGACCCCGTTCGTTGAACTGGGGCTCCTGCAAGTCCAAGTGAGGTGTAGGTATCGAGTCTAATGGGCCACTTTCGCTTGAATGAACGGGGGGATGAACTTGGCCTCGAGTGGGATGAAAGAACGTCTGGGGGGGACACCCGGGGAAGGGACGACGGCTCTCTGCACTTCGGGGATCGAATGGATCTTGACTCGAGAAACTACGCAGGACCCGCAGGTGCTTGTCACTGTGCAGGGGCTCATTAAGACCGCGGGGCACTAGGCACGACTCCGACTTGACGAGCATCCTCGATGATGCGCGAGCAGCATAGTTGGTCGGATGCGATGCGAGACCATTGGGATGGCGCTTTTCCGGGGTTGGACTGTCTAGAAGTGCACTTGCCAGCCTGTCGAAGGCATCTCTCTGGATGTCAGGGGTTAGCGGTTGGGAGGCTGGAGGGGTTCCTAAGATGCTGTTAGAAGTGCCCCGAAGACATCGAGAGCCTAGGTGAAGACGTGTACCAGCCCCGATCTCCAACTGTTGTGCTTTCTTATGTGCACCCGTCCCATGTTTCCGGGGTGACATGGCGGAGCAAATATACAGTACCCCGGAACATATGGACTGTCTATGGATTGTTGTTAGGTTAAAAGAGTGTGGGAGGGAACCAGAAAGGATCGTAAGCCGCGTAGAACCCGGATCAGGGCGGCGGAGATTTAGATATGGGGGAGTACAAAACTAGAGAAGGTGAGCAAGTGATGGAAGAGATGACGGATTGGAAGGTAAAGGAGTGTGAAAGTTAGGTGGGTGGGTAAGGTAAGGTAAGGTAGGTAAGGCAGGCAAGAACTTGAGAAGGCAGGCAGAGAATAGAGTAGGTATGCTCCAAGGCGGCAAGCACGACTTGACCTGCCTATCTCCTTCCTCGGCCGACCGAGACAAGTCCCTAAAGAGTGCAAGAGGTAACATGCACAGAAGGTAAGGTAAATACAGTGAGATGGATTGCAGGTACGTATATATTCTGGCTCGACGAGGAGTGAAAGTTGAGAGGCTAGGTAGTATGGCATCCATCACATCTCTGGGTGCATCTCGCAAGAAGAGTAGTTAGGCTGTGACGGGAAAGGCGAATCAGCATGAAAAAGAGAACAAAAAAATGGAAGAAGAATAAAAGCCCAAAGTGACACTTATTCCAAGATTTTGGGAAAGGTCGATCCATCGAAATGGAGGCTAAATGCTCGTCACATTAAGTCGACTCAATGGGCCACATAGGCCCAGGAGCCCGTCCCGTCCCGGTGTTATCGTGTCATGCGACTGCCGCCTAGGTAGACCAAGGGAGCCTTGATGTTTGATAATAGAAGAGATGACCCTCAACGAGACGTGGAAGGTTCAAAGTGGCCTAGTTTTAGTTGTCGACGAACAACACTTCGTTGCCGTATGCATCTTCGATTGCTGCGTAATTACAGGGTGAACGTTGAGGAGTGGCTTACCTTAGTTCGAGAAGTCTGTGTAGGTAGTTGGTTTACGGAGTATTTTCGGTATTTTTGTTGGGTCTACGTCTACGGAATGCGAAGCACAAAGTAGTACGGTACGTGCTTTAGGTTGTTTGATCAGATAAGGTAAGCAGCCGGTCTGGGATTAGGATCAGCCAGCTTTTGATTGGCAAACCGCGCACGGATCATATTTGATGCGGGGGAACTCCGCACGGGCCCAGTCATCTCGTCGGTCTTGGCTTCCTGTCGCAGCCGAGAGCGTTTCCGTTTTAAGAAGCCCCCCTTGTACACGGGAACAAAAAAAAGTCAGCCGAGGGCCTCGCCGACAAGTGGCGGAATCCTTGACTCCGAAACGCGAACGTTGCTTTTTATCGATTCACAAATATCCCCTCCTTGTGGACGTTATTTTCTCTCTTTTTAACCCTACGGCCTCCATCATAATATCAATTGCCCTCTTGTCCTCGAGGGAATTGCCTCCGGCCGGTTCAGCACCTAGACCAAAGGAGTTGCTCTTCGAGTTACATTACCAGCCATCCCACGACGAAGGGAATCAATCTTCGTCTGCCCCTCCCATTCTGTCGCTCAATTAACACCTGTCTTCCCCATTATCGCCCCTACGCACAACCATTCGTCCACAGTCACAATGTCTTTCTCCAGCCTTGTGCAAGATCTCAGCCTTCGCGATTCCGCTTCCTCGCGCAGACCCCGTGGCATCGCCTCGGCGTCGACCATCGACGACCGCGCGTCGCAGGTGTCCCGCGCCATGTCCTACACCAGCACGGCCGCGACGAGCGTGAGCATCTCGGGCGATATCTCCAGCCAGTTGCATGGTGGCTACTTCCACCCACTGGCTCGGTCGTGGCAAGCCGAGCGCCAATTGACAAAGGTAGACCTCTTCTCTTCGCAAGCATTTGTCCGGCACGTAATATGAGTGGACGGACCCCTTGGCTGACTTGGGATTGTTTTGTTCCTCCTTTAGTCTATGCTGATTTACCCTCTTTTCATTTCCGACAATGACGACGACGAAACCCTCATCCCCTCCCTCCCTGGCCAGTATCGCCGGGGCCTGAACAAGCTCTTGCCGTTCCTTCAAACCCTGGTCAGCAAGGGCCTGCGGTCCGTCATGCTCTTCGGGGTCCCGCTCCAACCTGGCACCAAGGATGCGCTCGGCACCGCCGCCGACGACCCGGACGGCCCCGTCATCCGGGCCATCCGCCTGCTTCAACAACGTTTCCCCCAACTCTTCATCTGCGCCGACGTCTGCCTCTGCGAGTACACCTCCCACGGCCACTGCGGCATCCTCCGCGAGGACGGCAGCCTGAACAACGGGCTGTCGATCGACCGCATCTCGGACGTGGCCATCGCCTACGCCCGCGCGGGGGCCCACTGCGTGGCGCCGTCGGACATGAACGACGGCCGCATCCGGGCCATCAAGCTCAAGCTCATCGAAGAGGGCATGGCCCACAACACGACCCTCATGTCCTACGCCGCCAAGTTCTCGGGCTGCCTCTACGGGCCCTTCCGGGACGCCGCCGGCTCGGCGCCCTCGTTCGGCGACCGCAAGTGCTACCAGCTCCCGCCCGGCGGCCGGGGCCTCGCGCGCCGGGCCATCGTGCGGGATATGAACGAGGGGGCCGACATCATCATGGTCAAGCCGGCCGGCCAGTACCTGGACATCATCAGCGATGCCAAGGAGCTGGGCCGGGATCTCCCCGTGGCGGCGTACCAGGTCAGCGGCGAGTTCGCCATGATCCATGCGGGTGCCAAGGCCGGCGTTTTCGATCTCCAATCCATGGCGTTCGAGTCGACCGAGAGCATCCTCAGGGCGGGAGCGACGATTGTGATCTCTTACTTTACGCCTGAATTTTTGGATTGGCTTTCTACTTGAGCTCTGAGCTCTGAGCGACTGAGCCACGAGGACACGAGAAGGGATTTTTAAGACGGAAATTGCGTATGTAGACAGGCGTTCTTGGGGGCCGGGAGTACACAGAGCTAAAGGTTTACGGGCATATTGATTATGATAATGCATCTGGGGGCTGGGGTCCTTAGCTCGCCTTGTCTTCCTTCGGACTTCTATGAGGTACATGATTGCCGTAATGCGATGCATGGCTAAGGTAGTTCAGCGTAAGGCACCTTATGTAGGCACTCGCGGACTCGTACCCGTATATTCGTACATAAGGTATTTAAGAACACAACCCCCACCCAATCCACACTCTCGAGTCCTGTTCGTGCAGCATGGTTGGGACATCAGCAAACCACGGCGGGGAACCAACCATCCTGCTTTCAAGTGAGTATCTTCAGCCATCCCAAGGCTGCTATAGCTACCCTAACTATCCCGGGCCCGGGCTTGCGCACGATGAGATGGCACTTTGGCTACTCGATCACGGCGCAGACCTGAATATCCGGGCGTACATCGACGAAACGCCATTATCCTACGGTGTGCGGTACGCCTCTCCCCGCCTAATCAATGAGTTTCTCCGTCGAGGCTGGTCATTCTGAAATTGTCAGAGTCTTGAGAAACCAGAAGAGTAATGAGAAGTTGTAGGAATAAGGCGATGTGCGGCGGGCATTGTCGCAAAAGTGAAGCAAAACAGAGGGACAACAGTTTGCAGTGTCTGGATTCCTTTTGGTTGTATCCGTACTCCGTACTTGGGATGTCTTTCTCATAAGGTAAGGTAGGTAAGGTACCTACTATTACTTAATACGAGGATTGAAGTCGATTAATTGATACAAAAATACGTATCTACCTGATTGAAACCCACCGATATGGCGGGATACTTTACACGTAATTAAGTTGTATGTTCCTGGGCTAGCGCAGCGACTAGAATACACGTGTAGAGGACTCCTCCGGCTATGTAGCAACCTATCCGACCAGCAGGAAAGCCCGGGTCTTGTCAACTGAATTTTCCCTCTTCTGGCTTTGTTTGTTTGTTTATTTTGAACTCGAGTAACCAGTGAGAAAGGGGAAGAAGAATAAAGTGGAATAATCCAGACGTGAATCAAAACATCTGCTGCCATTCTATCAACCTTAGTGGCCGATAGACGGTGGGGGGTGGGGCGGGTTCATTTTAGAGCCTAAGGTACGGATATTTAAGTGGCTTGCCAAAGTCACTTTATGAGAAGATACTCAAGCTTCCCCGCAAGAATATACGGGGGACCTGGTGTAGCAGCTCTCGCTGGTACAACGGTACCAGTAATTACAACAGGGGTCAACAACAGCCCTCCAATGGGGGATGTCGTCCACTGGAGTCCGACCACCTGGACAGGCCAGGCACGACCCACGAACCACTTTAACGTGACGCGTCGTTGACCACTGGGTACCTTTTCAGCGAGCTTCAGTGGGAGTCTACTTCGTCCATACAGTGCACCCATCCCATGCCCGGCCCGTGCCAGCGCGTCCGCACCCCCGCCCTCGAACTCGACGCAAGTCGTCGCCTTCGCCTCGAATCCATTACCACCCCAAACTCTTTCTGCCTTCGATCCTCAGGTTCCCACCACCATCATCCATCCACACTTCCACCTCGAAGAATCACCTCTCCTGTCATGTTTGTCCGTGCATGACCCCCGCTAAATGACAACAGAAGATAACGACTCATCCAGCAACGAGAGGCCTCTAGTGTCTCTTCTGTCCCTCAAACGCCCTTCAACCTGTCGTTCGAACCCAACCACCCCGCCATTACCAGTATTTCTCCATCTCGTCGACACGGCTACTCCGATTCCCATCGGTCTGCGAAATCAAGGCGACCATCACCATCCATTTCAACGAATTCCCGCGTCACTGTCTTGTCTGACTCCGACTTCACACGATCCTTGCGTCCTCTCTTGTCCTGTTCAAAATAACCAACCCTACGTCCCGAACGACCGCCTTGAAATATCCCGAGTCCGCCTTCTTGTCGTCGCCGTCCCGCTACTCCCCGCCCTCTTCCTCTCTTGCCCGTCTAGTCCAAATCGGGTGAGTGCTTGCCTACCTTCGAGCGCGCCTTGCGCTGCAGTCCAATCGGCCACCATCTTCAATTCCCACCCTGGAGGGACAACCCGGGACTCCCTTCTTGGATACTCGCAGCTTACAATGTCCTATTAGGTTGTTGCAATGTACTAGGCCTTTCTGCTCGCGACCCAGCTGGCCCATTTTGGGGCCGCATTGGGAACCTGCGGCTGCCGATCCTACAGTACTCGACGTGCGACGGCTCGCTATATATCTCTCTATTCCTCCGCCAGAACATAACCTCCCTCCACCGACCTCGTCATTCCTAAAAATAAAAAAACTTCATCCCCGATATTCGAATCCCGGGAAATGAATGCCGCCGTCGCAAATGGCGGCACCACAGTTTGATCCACCTCTTCCCGGCTCCTCTTTCTTCAATATATACAACGATGCGGAACCCGCCCGAAACCCAGTCGACCTGCCAGCTGGAGGATGCAACTTCGTGGACTTGACACCCGGTGCTAACGGGACAAAGTGTGGATGCCGTCGTTTTTGGAGCCGCTTCGCCGCTGGGAGGGCCTACGCTGACAACCTGGGCTCCGATCACTCCGCCTGGTGTATGTGTAGCCACCATGCCTGCTATCATGATGATGACCGCGCTCCCGAGACTCCTACGTCTGCTCGTCCCACTCTTGGCCAGGAAAATGAGAGACCCAAGGTAGCCCGGGAGCCCTTAAGTCCAGTGGTTCAGGAAGCATCTTTCCGTTTAACTACCGGGTTGCCCGACCCCCTGGACTTCTTGAATCAGGATGCCGTCTTTGCGACATCGCCACAAACCAGATTCGAGGAACAAAAGTCCAGACAAGGTAACCTGCCCAGCCAACAAGCAAGCTCCGGGTTGCCAGATACGTTACGTTGGGGAGGCTCGGTCCAGCAGTCTCAGCCGGCCAACTCGGCGCTGCCTCCCATCCCGCCGCAATGTTTGATTGCCTCCCAAATCAGCTCGACCACGTCTAGTCAATCTCGCTATCTCCGCCCCTTCGCCGGAAGGGGCCTCCGGACACTAAGTGGTGTCGCCCAGTCTAATCCCAGGTCCCCACTCCAGGATAAGTCCCAGGATATCCAGGCAGCAACAACAGCCGCTCAGCAGGATGCCGGTGGAGACCACACTATGCTCGAAGCTGACGATCCTCCTCTGTCGGCTGCCAACACACCTCGCGGCCGCCCACAAGACCCGATTATTGAGGATAGGCCGGCCTCCGATATATTCGGAGGACCCTCACGGCAAACTTTCCAGCACTTATCGGACACCGTTCAAGGGCATGAGCAGCGCCTAGACCGCTTAGAAAACGTCTCCTTCTCGGCCGGGGGACACGACGAATGTCACGACAAGCATGACTCGACAGACCTCCGCGTTACCGATCTTGAAGTGCGAGTCGAAGAAGTCGAGAGGCTTTTGAACGACACGAGCAGCAACGGGACCGCGCGTCAAGTCCGTCGTCGCCCGGGCGCTGATGAGTCTACAAACAGTGTCGTCTCCGTTTCGACCAACGCCACCTCCCGAGCCGCCGAATCCAGCGAAGTCTTCAGTCATCTTCAGTCGCTGCAATCACAGATTCTCCAGCTCCGCACATATATGCCGTCGTACATGCATGCCTGGGAGGTAGAAGTCGTTTTTCTCCCTTTCCCACTGAGGCGTATATGGCAGGAGAGGTACGACTTTAAGACGGAACTCACCCTCCATATGGACGAGTGGACGCAGCTGCCCAACACACATAGTGCCGCGAGCATGAGGGCACAGTCTCCGTTTTGCGGCGACTGGGCCGAGGCCGGCCGGGACCACGACTGGCTCCTGCCTAAAGCTTGTGGCCCTCGCAGCATCATCGATAAGCGTCTGAGGAGCCGTGGCCTCGTCAGGACCATCTCGGTCAAGGGCCCCGACGCTAGGAGTGTTCAGGCGGCCATCCATGCTGCCTTTGGCGACAACTTGTCGGACATGTCGGCTGCGGCGCCACCACCTGCATCCCGGCGTCGAAGCGTCGACGGCAAGATTGCCAGGTTTCTCGGTCTACAGAACCCATGGGTACCACTTCGCAAGATTCACAAGGACTCTCGTCTCCGTTTTCTGGCACCGGCCGAGATGGTCACGCCAGCGCTCTGGGATGCAACCTTTCTGAATTCCGTGGTAATGCGGTCATCCGAGCCACGGCTTTTCATCACGCACCCGGAGGCCTACCTGCAAGACGCGCACGCATTTAACTCGGGCTGGACATGGCAGAAAATCCGCGAGTTGAGCCGAGTCTATCCCGACTCCTCCCATTCAGCGGCAGCACTTCAAGTCCCAGAGGCCGATGCTCTCGAGGACTACTGGAATTGGAACGAGCAGCTGGACGAGCCCGCCAGTGCTCAGTCCTCACTCAACCTCCGCCAAGCCAGACAGCGCATCTCTCTCTCGCCGTCTCAGCACTTCTTCACCTTGAAGTCGTCTCTGCGCTCTCCCAGCCCCTTCGTCTCCCGCCGACAGACACCGTCCGTAAGGGAACCCCAAGTGTCTCGACCCCTTCGCATCCGCACTACTTCCATGCCTCCATCGGCCCTGAAATCCTTCTCGCCATCCATAGCAAAACGCCGGGTCGCGTCCTATGGTCAGCAGCGGAACGAAGGCGGTTCTGCCCAGGGCCATGCCCTCAGTAGCCCTTCTGCTGCCACGGCTCTCAAGCGGAAGCGGACTCGCTCACCCAGCCGCCCCCGCAACACTCCTCGTTGGACGGCCTCCCCTAGCCCGGCGCTGGCTGGGTTTATCAGTGACGAGTGGCCGCCACATCATCAGGCTCGTGGAGTGACGCCGCTTTATTATGCCACGCCCTTCAGTAACGCGCCGCCTACCGACGCTCGGCCGCGACACAATCCCGCTATGGGGGATGGTGATACGTCCGACGGGCATGACGAGGAAGACGTAGACGTCGGCAGCACTACCCCCCACCACGACCATGGCGATGGCATGAGCCATTTTGACGGCGATGCACGGGCTCGGGGGATGCTTGTGGAGAATTCCCGTGACGTGCTGCAGCCTCGGCAGCTGCAGCCCGAGGATGAGCCATGGCCGGGCATCGAAGACCTGGACCACGTCTCTGACGGGGAGAACATCGATCCCTTGTTCTCCCCCGCTGCAGAGGATGATGACGACGCCACCTCTGTCGCCAGCAGCCAGCCGTCGGAGTACCCCAGCACAAACCGGGGATGGGAATTACCCGGCGCCGATCACGACATGGACTTTGACATTCACGAGGACGATGACCGATCATAAAACGCAGTTTAGTACCTGAACCAACGGTTCGATGGGCGATTTTTTTGGGTTGGGCGTCTTTAATACGGTTTTACGCAGCGATCTTGGAGGGGCTTGAATCTCAGGGGCATACCATTTACTTTTGGTATACGGGACGTGGCGTTCAGGAGGCTATACTTACTTATACTATTTGCAGGGCAAGGGTTCGGCATGACCATTGGATTAGGATATAGAATCCTCCCACGATCACCTCCGTTCATTTTTACTGGTTGCGACTCGGGCTTAGAAGAGCGTGGAAGACCATTGCTCAGACTTGGAGGGGAGGGTGTAGATCTTTTCGTTGGCGTCTTTGAGACACGAAAGGTCGCCGCCGGGCTGTATCACTACCTTGCGACTCACGAGAGTCGCACTCCCCTCTCTCAACCTCATTCTCCCCCCAATTATATAGATGCCATCTCAACACTATCTATAACGAAATACTGACCGATATGGTCATGGCCTTTTTATTTTTATCGTATCACATGGTGTTTTCTGGCGATGACCCCGTTGACGTCGTCATCACCCCATCAGCACAGTCACAATAAGAAATCCATAAAAGAAGGAGCAAGTCTATTGAACGGCGCTGATCGCCGGCACGGGTATAGGTGTGATAGGGTATGAGGGTTCTAACCAAATCCTGAGGCAGGCTCGCGGCCGCAACCTATAAGAGCAGGGGCTCGACATATACAAACGCCGTGTGGACCACCGCTGCCGAAGAAACAACAGGCAATAACTGAACGCCCCGATTCTAAAAGAGAAAAGAAGACGCTTTCCCGCCGAATGATAGTATACCTACCGATCTGCCAGACGACTTGTCCGGGTGGGCGAGGTGGCCAATGTCTTTTTCGTCTTCTTTTGCTCTTTGTCTTGTCTATAAACCAAACGAAGGCTGAAACCGTGTGTTGTGTGTAATACATGAAAGCGGCAAGTCGTTTTGTTCGTCGTAAAAGAGTGTACTGTACGTATCCTGTCCATAGGATTCCCGAGTCGTGGTCTATATTCCGGATAATTTGTGATGATAGGGATATTTGTCTTTGAATTCATGAAGTCAAGGGACAGCCTTAAAACTGAAGGCTTGGGGAAGGAAAAAAAAGAAAAAAAAAGAAAGAAAGAAAGAAAAAGACCCCGTTCCTCCACGTCAGCCATACCAGGTCTGACCGGGCTCAAGAGTCTCGAGAATGCGACAGCCGTCAGCCGTACAGAGTCTCTCGCGGCCGAGGCGCTTGAACTTGGGGCCCAGCGGCCCGGTGACATAATGATATTGGCTGAAGAGGCGCCACTGGCGACGGTCGGCGAGGGAATACACCTGGTCGCCCCAAGGCCCGGCAAAGTGAAACCAGCTGGTCGGAGCGTCCGGGTTCTCGGAGGTGGGCACGAGACTGGTAGCGTTGGCGTGACGGTGAGTCGAGAGCAGCTCGACCTCGCCGTCCAGATCGTCGTCGAGATCGAGCCCGTCATCGAGGTCCTGGACATGGTCGTACCAGTAGGAGTAGGTATTCTTGGAGGGATCCCAGAGGGGTCCGCGGTCGGTGACGTCCTTGAGCATGTTGAAGGGGAGGATGTAGGGGTGGTTCCCCGGCTGGGCGTACATGGCGTGGCTGCCGACGGCCGAGTAGATGACGGGCCGGCCGTCCATCTTCTCGACGGCTTCGTAGGTGTAGGCCTGGCCGCCCTCGTGCTCGGAGAAGAAGATGCCGCGCGGCTCGCCGTGTTCGAAGCGAATCAGACAATGCTCCCAGTCGGCGACGTGGTTGCCGAATCGGATGTTGAGGACGGTCTGGCCAAGGTTGTACGAGTAGAAAAAGAACCAGAAGGCGTCGACTATGCCGTTGCCTTTGTCTACGAGAATCAGGATAGCCGGTGCCTTGGAGTGCCCCTTTTCGTCAGGCTTGTGGGTGGTGGATGACGGTTCCGACACCATGGGTCGCTGGTCCCTGCGGGAAACCAACTGCGCATTGCGCCTGGATGCAAACGTATTCTTCTCCAAGCGACGGGGGTCGGAAATGCGGTGGACGGGGCTGTCGCGGGACGCATCAAACCAGGTGGTGTCGGTACCTCCTTCATGCTTGGACCGGCCACCTGGGGAATGGGTACCGGAGCTCTCGGCGCTACTGGAATCATCCTGGTCGTCAGACTCATCTTCCCAGGGCTCGGGAATGCCGACTTCGCTGTGCAGCCACGGGGGTCTTGATTCCACGTCTTCGGCGGCGGTCAGAAAGACACGACCGTCTTCCTCGTTTAGCTCATGGAGATTGGCGAGGACAGCGGTCCGATTCAAGGCGTCTTCTTCCAGGTAAGGAACCATATGCAAGACGTGTTCGGCGATATCGGCGGGCCAGAAATTCTCGCCCGAGTAAAGATGAACCAAGGGCGCATATTTGAGGACGTAATCGGGAATGCGGGAACGTGTTTCGTCCGAGTCGGAGTCGGAGTCGGAGTCGGAGTCGGAGCCCTGCGCCTGGGGGGAACGCCTCGTCCGGCGAGCGTTCTCCCAGCCTCGATGTCTGCCTTCCTCGTTGTACAGCGACCGAAGCTCCAGTCGGTCGGCGAAGAAATCATCGTCGGTGCCGTTTCCCCACGGCAATAGGGCGGCGGGGTCCCAGGTTAGGTGGTGGACACCGCAAAGGCTCAGCCACCTGCAGGCCTGTCGGTCGAGCCAATACGGACTGCTGCTGACCCATCTCTTGTCCCGGAGTTGTTTCTCTTGATCTGGGGGCGTCGGATCGAGATATCGAGGCAAAAACCAGGCCACGAAAGAGGCGGCAACGAAGAGGAAGACGATAATGGCGATGCGTCGTAAGTACATCGTGGTGGTTGGAAAGGAGGGTGGGCGACCGCCGTCAAGCCACTGTCATCTAAGAAATAGAAGAAAGAAGGAAGAAAAAAAAAAGGAAAAAAAAAATCAGAGAAGAGATGAGAGCAGGCAAGCCAAAAAGGACAGAGACACACAACTTGAGGAACGAGTCGGTGGGTGAGATGCAGCAAAGGGCGGACTGGACTACCCCGGCTACCTGGGCCAGCGAAGTCGGCGCGGGGCGGCGGCTATGGAACGGATTCGTGGAAGGGTTCCGAAAGGGAACGCATCCATAAGGTCAGGTACCAAGCGGACTGAGCGGGGGAAAGTTCTCTGCCGCTTGAACAGACACACGCCCAACCGCTTGGAAAATCCGCGAAAGAGTAAGATGAAGTGTTGGGGGGGATGAAAGGGAAGGAAACGAGTGAGGGTAATTATGCGTTGTCAGTTGTCCAGTTGTCAGCCAACGTGGTAATAACTTTGGTGGTCATTTGCCAGTTGGGCAAAAAGACAGAGAGGTACCCGCATGCGTGTTCCTCATATGTACCGCTACTTTATTACAGGAGTCTATAGTGTGAAGAGTAAGGTATCTATCTGTACCTTGTCAGCGGGAATGTCGGCACCGAGTGAGCACTAGGAGGAGGTGCATGTGGCGCATGTGTGACAAGTTCTTGACTGCGACACAAGTACCGATGCTCCTCGGACACCAAAGTGGGGCGGAGCGGGGAAGGGGGGGGGGGGGGGGAAACGGCCCCTCCAAGTTCCGGCTCCTCCGGAAACCCTTCTGTCGTTACCTACCTTATGAAATAAAGGAACTCAGGTAATAATTAATAATTAATTGCTCCGCACTTTTTGTACATACCTTACCTTATTAATAAGTAATTCGACGTTGAGTCTTCCAAGGTTCTTCCCTGACCAAGATCACAAGCTCGAGTCAACTGCCATTGAGCATTGATCACTTCGCTGTCAATTAAAGTAGGTACTCAGTAAGATCAGGGATACTTGCGGGCAATTATGTATCAGGATATTCATGCGAACCTCAAAGAAACATATTCTTATCGTCAGCCTCACGAACGGTGTCCATGCTCCTCACCCTTTCCACCCTTTCCTTGGTTACACGGAAGTCGTCTGGCAGCTCAACGCCATCCTCTTTCCCACCGTCACCACCATCACCACCACGACCACCCCCGCCCATCATCATGTTCACCACTGCCTTCGCACATAACGCTGCCTGCGGCATCCCGTGTCCCGTGTAGCCTGCCGCCACCCATAGGCCGTCTCCTCCCCCCAACCAGGCCGGCACCTCACCGACCCAAGGGCACCCGTCCCGGGAGAACCCCATGATGCCCGTCCACTCATAATCCGCCTTCATCTCCCCCTTTTCCTCCTCTCCCATCTCCCTATTATCCACCCTCTCCCTTTCTCCCTCCCCGCCTAACAACTGCATCGACCTCGCAAGCACGCGTCGGAGATACCTCGCTACCACTGGATCGACCCAGTCATCCGCGCTCACCCCAACCCCTTTGCCCGTCCCCCGGCTTCTCCCCCCGCCGAGTATCAACTCACCCCCGCCCCGAGGCCGCTGGATCAAGTAATCGTCCCGGATCGGCCCGTCGGGGGGCACTCCCATGAAGACGTAACTGTGCGACAGGGCATCCTGGCCCGGCCGCGGCACAAGCGCAGCCACCTGGCCGCGCACCGGCACGATGAGGTCCGAGAAGGCCCGCACCAGCCGGGACGTGTACCCGTTACACGCGAGGAGGACGCGCCGCGCCGCCACCTGTCCCCGAGGCGTGTGCACCATCCATCGGTACCCGTCGACCGCTCCGGCTCCCGCCCCGGCTCCGGCTCCCGCTCCGTCCAGCTTCTGGAGACAGGTGACCGGCGTGTTGGTCTGGAGGTTGAACCCCCTGTGCGCGCCGGCGCCGGCGGCCTTCCTTTCCCCCCCGAACCGCCGCAAGAGGTCCTCCAGCACCCAGCTCACGAGCTTGTAGGGCCAGCAGCTCGCCGCGGCCATCTGCACCACGGCCCCTACGGCCCCGGGAATGCGGAGATGGGCGAGCTCCTCGGCCGACCTGACGACGCGAGCGCCGGCGGCGAGCTGCGGGTGTGATCGGACAAGGTCCCCGAGACGGAGGGCCGCTTGGGCGAGGAGGTCCGGGGTGTAGAAGGCGTGGACACCACGAAGCGGGGTCCAGTCGCAAGGTATGCCGTGAGAGGCGACGAGGTCGTGGAGAAAAGCGTACGTTTGCACCTCGAAATGGGCTATCGCCGGGGCGAGGGCGGATACGTTGGGTTGGCAGTGGCCCCCGTTCTGATACGTACCGTTTTAGTGTGCCTGGAACCATTTGATAGCCAAGGTAAGGTAGGTAGAGGGAGAGAGAGAGAGAGAGAGAGAGAGAGAGAGAGAGAGAGAAACATTTATAGTATCAACGACGGCACGGGGGGAGTAAAGACAGTCAAGTTAAACCTCAACGCTTGGGGGCCCGAACAGACCGTAAAAGTTCCACTTGGAATGGCAAAGTCTCATCCAGGAATTCCGCCGAATACTGACTATGGGAGGCCAATTCAGCTACAGGGAACTTGCACAATCACTTACCCTTCCCGTAGCACCCCAGCAAGCCTCCCTCGCCTCAAGCATCAGCACTTCGGTACCATCCCCGACGCCCGGTTCCTTGAGAAACCGAGCTGCAAAGGCACCGGTAATGCCGCTACCGATAACGACCACGTCAGCCGTGGACGGGAGAGAGGGAGTCGTGCGGTGACCCAGCAGCACTTTGGACGGTTCTCTGTGCCAGTACGACCGCGTGCTGCGTTCGGAAGGGAGGTCGGCCTGGCCGTCCTGCAGCGTTATGCCTGTCATGGCCAGCTCGTTGGCGCCTAGACCTCACTTGGCTCGGTGGACAAGGTCGCGCGCCGTCTGTTCGGGGAATGGAGGGACGGCCAGAGTGATGCAGATGTGTCTGGAATTGACTAACAGAAAGGTCTCTGTCTGACGGTGAGATGTCAAAAGGGAACCGAACCCCCTCCATGTACCCCGTCTACGAAGATAAGGGTGTACCTCGGCAAGAAGTACCTTAGGTACTGTATTGGGGCAGGTACCTGGAGTCCTTCGTTGGCGAGAGCTGTACTCGTACCTGTAGTACCTGTATAGATGAATTACATAATAGCCTCAGAGGGTTGGCTGCTGCACTGACTTTTAGGTACTGTACTTCGTACTTCGTGCTGCGATTCGCCTGCTCTGGTACACCTCAAACTCGCCTTTTCACTTTACATGCTTCGCAGCTGAAAAACCTACCATGGAGTACCCTGAAGGTAAGAAAAGGAAGGTACCTTACCTTACAGAACTGCCTGCCCGGGCGGCGTGTGAGTGCAGGCGCCTGGGAACCATGGCCCTGGGACGGTCAACCCAGCCGTTCGAAATAGCACAGCCTCGTCATGCCCACATGATAGGTGGTGGCCCCTAAAAATAGCCATGCCGCCTGCGGGCTACAGGAGGCCGGCCACCAATATGCCTTGAGGGCGGCTACATACATAACTCGCCTGCGCCATTCCACGCGTATGCGTTATCTTGATTCGCTTCTCAACCTAAAGGCTAAAACGGCCCTCCTTTCCTCCGTCTCAAAATTCAAACCGTCAACGTATATAGGTCGTGCAAGTTGACATAATGGCAAGATCGAAATCCACCCTTTTCTTGTCCCACAGCCCTCGATTGTGTAGAAATGGGTGATACCTTGAACTGCGACGACTATGGGGACATCTCCTCCATACTCGCTGCCAGCCATCTTAACCTCGCCCAGCTCCTTGTATCATGTCCCCAAGCATGCGCCGTAATTGTCGGGTCGGGAAACCCAGACATTGCCGGTATTGGGGTATGAACCCTGCTGTTCCTCTTCTCTTGTTTTTTTCTCTTCTTTTTTCAAAAAGACCCGAGTTGATCTGCTCTGTCGAGATGAAGTGCTGAGACATAAAATCTCCATATAGGCAATGGTGGCATACACGATCCAAACCACTCTCTCCTTCTTAACCCCCATAGCAATATCAGTCTCCCTCTTCCTCCATCAAGAACCGTACCAGTCCTTCCGAGGTCTCTCGCAATCCTACATGACGTCCCAAGCCATCTTCGCCATGGCCGTCTCCATCTCATCCCTCGTCCTCCTCGTCCAACGCCCGCCCCTCATCGAACGAGACCTCATCGAGAAACTCGGCGCCTTCCAAGCCCTCTGCGCCCTCCAGGTCATCTACGTCCCCACCGTCCTCTCCCTCTCCGAAGGCGGCTTCGGACCGAACCGGACAAAGCGCCTGTGGCACCGCATCAAGCACAGCCCCTCGACGCGCAGGATCCTGACAAGTGTTATCATCCTGCCCCCCCTTCTCGGCGTCGCCATCGAGTACCAACCGGACAACCTCCGCTCACTCTACAACGACGCCGTGGCGAACCCGGCCGTCTGCCCGGACCATGTCATCACGAGAACGAAAGCCGTCGACGGTGCCGTCGTCGCCGTACTCGCGTTCGTTGTGGTCGTCAACGTCATCTTCACCGTCGCGAAGACCTTTTTCGGTTCGAATTCGACGCGTCGGTGGTTACTCGCTTACGGCATCGTCTCGGGTTACTCGCTCTGCGTGTCCCAGGCTCTCCAGCTGGGGTGGTTGTTTGATTATCGGACGCAGGCGAGGGACGTTGCCGGAGAGGAGTACGAAGATAATGAGTGGGGGTTTGGACAGGTGTTGGCTGTGTTCTCTTGGGCGCCTACTTTGATGGAGTGCGGTTATTGGTTTATCAAGACGTTGATCCACAGGCAAGGTACGATCTTTTCTTCTTCTTCTTCTTCTTCTTCTTCTTCTTCTTCAACAACAAAACAAGAAGGTTGTTATGCCCAACTGCTGGGTGCTGATAATATTTTGCGTGAGAAGATTCTTGGAGGTCTTGGCGAGATGTCAAAGAGTCACCCTGGGATCGGGACTATTGCAGTCAAAAGCGCAGTCAGGCGGGCGACGGCGCTACGGCTATACCGATGCTGGATTCGGAGAGATGACCGATCCATGTCAGACGATTGTGCCGACAATACCGGAGTGGGACGTGTACCTCTCACCAGCTCTCCTGCGGACTGATGTCTCAACGCTTCAATACAGGTCCTACGTCGTTTCATACCATGTCATGTCGCAATGTATTGTTTCTGACCGTCATGAGACTACCCATTCCTACCCGTTCGTACCTATTCCTACCCCAACTGGTTCCACTCCGATGCCGTGTCATGTCGCATCTCATTGAACTTAACGAGACGAAGTACGTCGAAAGAAATGGCAGTGTGTACACGGCCTCAGCACATGCCCCGGACGCCGGTAAGCTTCACCAGCATGCAAAGTAAGTGAGGAAAAGAGAAACAAACGAAAAAAAAGGGAAAGAGAGAAGAAAAACAAGAAAAAAGGAGAGTGATGGTAAAGAGAAGACCACTCCCGTCCAAAACTCCCCGTAGAGCTGTAGCTAGCTTTAACCCTACATCTTCTTTCTCTTGCCGATCTGGGCCGAGAAACCAGTCTTGATGGCGGTGACCGTCCGTCGAGAACCGCACGAGTTGCAGTTGACGAAGTAGAGACGGTTCTCTCCCTTGTTGAGCTCTGTGTTGGGCGACTTGCACGTCTTGCAAGTGACGTACTCGACTGCGAAGGTTGTTAGCAAAGGGAAGAAAGGGGGGGCTGGGCAGGAGGAGGAAAAGGAGGAAAAAAAAAAAAAAAAGGAAATAACAAAACATACTGATATATTTCCGCAACACATTCTCAATCTGCTTCTGTTGGAACCGACCCTTGATGACAAGACGACGGCTACCGTCAGTCGAACCAGAAGTACCCAACTCGGACAAGCAGTATCTGTTTGCGTCCTCGCGTTAGCAACTGTCTATGCATATGGAGACTTCCCTCGTTCTCTGCATTTCTCTGTCCTCTCTTATCGACATATTTGACTCATTTCGGGGTATGACGTACTGAGTGAGATGCTCCTCTGTCCGCTTCATGCGCTTGGCGATCTCGGCAAGGTTGGCGAAGATGGTCTTCTTGTTTCCTTCACGCATACACTGCGGGGGAGGAATCTTGTAGCTCTTGGATCCACTCAGGGCGTGGTCCGGGTTCCGCTGCGAGAGCTGGTGGAAGAATCTGTCCAGAAGGAGCGTGTAGCTCAGGGGTCTGGTCTCATCGTGTGCCCAGATGCCGGTGCCGGCATCCATGTCGCCCTCGTCGGCCGGCTCTTCCGCTGCGGCGCCCTCCTCCGTTTTACCCTCGAGCTCGAGCGCCTTGAGCTTGGCGGCGAATTCGTCCTCTTCGCCCTCCTTGGGCGCCTTCTTCTTCTTCTTCTTTTTTATGGTAAGGTCAAGCCCACCATCCTCGGCGCCGGCACCGGTATCCTCGCCACCTTCCTCGTCATCGTCCTTGGGGACCTTCTTCTTCTTCTTCTTCTTCAGTGTCAGGTCCAGCCCGCCATCATCGACCGCGGCGGGAGTGGTCTCGTCACCAGCTTCAGATGAGGGATCAGTAAATGCTCCAAGAGCTGCGGAAAGCGGCGGCGTACGAGGCGTGTGGGACTGGGCCGTGTCCTTGGTCTCATCCGGAGTGTTGACCATGGTGATAGAACCGTCGGCGTCGACGACTACTCGCTCGTTGGTGAAGGCGACTGATTTGCGTTGTTTGCGTTCGGGCAGAGGAGCGTCCTGAAGGGAAAACGAGAGACTGTGAGTAGTGGGTTCGCTAGCGCGCAGAATTATCTCGAACCAAAAATCCAAAACAG